AGAGAGAGAGAGAGAGGTTGGTTATTATACAACCCTTGACATTTGTGCAACCAATACAACCCAATCTCAACCGTCTAATTAATTTGATTAATATGTAATTTCATATAAGTTTTTATTGTTTCCTAATATAAAGTATCGATCATAATTAATRAACCATATTCATCTTCCATAAATATTCAAATCATAATAAATGAACTCTCATCATTTCCGTAAATATCTCAATATATTGAGTTGTATTGGTTGAACAAATGCGATGAGTTGTATTTGAAACAAGCTATATATATAGGGTTGGGTTCATGTGAGACCAGCCTGTTTTCGTGAGACCCGTGAGAACACATTTTTACACGTAAACTTCACAGCAAAAACACTGTGAAGGTTTAAAAAAGTCGAACCTTCACAGCAAAAATACTATGAAGGTTAAAAAAAGTCACATTCACAGCATTTTGCTGTGAAGTTTCAAGTGTAAAAAGCTGGTCTCACGGGTCTCACGAAAACAGGCTGGTCTCACATGATCCCAATTATATATATATAGGGTTAGGTTCACGTGAGACTAAGGGTTTTTCATGAGACCCGTAAGACCAATTTATGTTCATGGATCAACTTTATAAGCTAATGATCTAATGGTCTAAAATTGCACGGTGTCAATTTTGTGATTATCGAGAAGTCTCGTGGCATTTATGAATGTTCAGATTGTCAGATTAAAGATCTAATCCAAGGGTTGAGAATTGGTCTTACAGGTCGAAAAACCCTTGGTCTCACATGATTTCAAGTATATATATGTATGTATATATGTGTGTGTGTGTGTGTGTATATGTGTGTAGAGGAGGTTTATTTTACAAATCACGTTATTTGTACAAACCTCATTCAACCAATTATAATTTTTCATTTTGTTCACTTTTTTGTAGAGGTTGATTAATCATTTTTATAGTGGAGCGTGTTAATCATGGATATTATCATCTTTATTATTTTAATTTTAGAGAAATAAATGAAACAGTTTCATTAAAATTTCATTAAGTATTATATGAAACAATTTCATAATCATATATGAAACAACTTCATCAAAAAAAAGTATTATATGAAACAATTTCACAAGATTAAACAATTTCATGAAATTTTTTCATAAGATTAAACAATGAAACCGACGGATGAGGGTGGTTTGCACGGTTTGTACAAATTGGGTGGTATGCATTTGATCGCTCCTTTATATATGTATGTATGTATGTATGTATGTATGTATGTATGTATGTATGTATGTATGTATGTATGTATGTATGTGTGACATCCGTCACCAAACCAGGTTAGTCAACCGTAACTCGAAACCTAACGTTAGCCCTTTTAGTAAATTTATGTGCTCACATGCTTCCTGAAACATAAGGTGTGAAATTTTAGGAGTTGGGTG